GATATTTTTTGCATGAAATTACGTAATCAGTTTTGCAAAATATCACAGAAAAAACTTCACATGGTCATATTAACTATACAATAATGTATACGTATCGTACAAACATATCGAATGGATGATGATAATTGACGTGATAACGAATGTTGCTATCTTTCATCCATCTGATTTATATGGTTATGCAGTATCATATATGGGCAGAGATTTTTAGTTGGATAGATGAAATTTAAGTGATAACAAAGTAATACTCATAAACAGCTTAGCTCAAATGATCTGAAATTGATCTGGTTCGGGTTAGTTTGAAATTGATCTGGTTCGGGTTAGTTTTGGGGTATTCTAGTTAATCTTTTCGGATCACTATTCATAAATGGGATATAAAAACTCATAAGCGATTCATAAGCAATTTTACGATCACTGATTAAATCATCACTTTTTATCTCAGAAATCACACCATGTTTTATATCTTATTGGCTTAGATTCTATCGTTCAATTTAAATAATCATTAAAATTATAATTTTTCGCCCATATGTCTTATGTAACCCTGAATTAATTAATTGTATATGTATAAAATCTATTCTATAAGCCCAGATCCTAAACTGATATTAATTAAGTAATTATATAAAATCAAATTTCACAGATGCAATATTTAAAAGAAGACTTTGGTAATAGTGATTAATAATTATTAGGATTATTGTACTTACTAAAATTCTGGACCAATGAATTCATTGATTATTATATGTTATTATTTCTCATTATTGCACATGTAAATGATAAAGTTTTTTTTTTTAATTATAGCAGGAAATTACTTTGAAAAATATCAAGGTGATATCGCAACTTACTGTTAATCTAAACAATAATATGGATTTTGATTTGAAGTGATAAAAAGAATAAGTTTTAATTTGTAAATAGTGTTACTACAAAATGAGAAACCTATCTCGTACCATTACGGGATTATACGCAAATTTTTGTCAGCAGTTTACTAAGCCAATCACAGATTTACTAAAATAACGAAAAAGTACAGGTACTTGACTAGTTATGGCAGAAAAATATAGAGAATCGTAATATTGATCCAATCAGATAGGTATAATGTGAAAATAAAAATCTATAAATATTTAAAATAAACTCCTTATAATAGGATTAAGGTTAAAGGTTATAATATACGGTATTGAGTTATTAGAGATTTTCAAGATCTACCCGGTTGTGACGTGTCTTTTTTTGCAAAAACTATCGATTTTTCTATAATTTACATAAGAAACTACTGTACATTTCGTCAATTTTACTATATAGAACTTTAAAGAATTTTGCTTGGTCACGTCTGAGTGAAAATTTTGATGGAATTAGATCGGTTTTTGGACCAAAAAATTTCAACTAACAAAACAAATTAGAAAATCGATTTTACTATCGAATCAATTATAATATCAGGTGTCATGGCTCAAAATTTAGCATATTAAACTGTCTTCTGTGCACTAATATAAAATTTTCCTTACAAATTTTGATATAAAGCGCTTTTAAAACAATAATTTAATAAAAAAAGTACTATCTCTAACCCAACAGCGACGAAATTTTTATTGTGAAATATAATAATTTGAAATTTTTTAGGTGGCTATTCTATCCTTGCCATAATCACATCAACCAAAAAAATTTTAAAGAACTCGATCAATTATATAACGTGAAAAATCAAACAATCGCTCATAACTCGAAATTTGTCTATTAAACTGTCTTCTGCGCACTAAAAAAAAAAAAAATTCCTTGGTAAATTTTGGTATAAGTAATAATTTCTAAACCTAATTTAATAATAAAAATATTAATTCTAACCTAACAATGCGAAATTTTTAGTTAAAAATTTTTTTGGGTGGTTCTAATCAGCTGGTGAGATGGTACTGTCACGATTCCTTGTGAAGTATAAGTAGGGCATAGACAATCACGATTTTATTTTTATTATTACTGTAAAATTAAATCTTCTTTTTTTATTTTAAAGTTATAAAAATGGTAATTTACATACAGTATAAATCTTTATAGATCTAATCTAAAATTGCCCTAATTCTAATGCTAAAATTATGGTAATAGTAATTCCAATCATTGGCACTTAATACACTGTACAACGATATAAATATAGTAGGAATATTTTTATTTAAAATAAATATAGTTTTAAGAGTAACAACAATTTCTAATTATTCAAAAAGATATTATTAAACAATTATTTCATTAATTTTATTCAACAAATCAATTACATCCTTATTATTACTTAATGCTACAGATATCAAATATTTCAACTCAGATTGCTTATCCTTCTTAACACCACATTCTTTATTCAAATAGATTTTGCCCAAATAATAACTAGCTTTAGCATGCTCATTGTCAGCTGCTATATTTAAATAATGCAAAAATTCAGTATATTCGTGATTTTCTTTCTTATATAATGAACAAGCATACCGATATTGTGCATCAAAAATTCCATCATCAGCATCTTTGTAAAGATTATTTGCTTGAGCTATATCTTTTGGAATAGAATAACCTTGTTCATAATAATATTCTAGCTAAAATTTTGCTAGTGGATCCCCAATTTCTGCATTTTCAACAAAATATTTAAAAGCATTTTTATTATCATTTTTTTGTGAAGCTTAAGTCCTTCATCAAGTGACACTATAGGCTTTATTTTTATTGATTTGCTAATATCTATTAAAGGCTCATCAAAATCTGGAGGCATTTTTAATCTTTTCTTTTTGGATTCTCTAGTTCCATCCAAATCCAATGTGTTGTTAGCCAACAGTCCAGTATCACCATATAAGATGGGAGATTTTTTTGTGGATTATCCCTTTTTATAAATAAATTATTAAAAACTATTTGACTATATAGATCAAGTTTCCATACTAAATTAATATTAACAGAAATAAGTTGTCTTATGTATGCTGAAAAATTTTAAATTTTTTTAGGTATTATTTTTTTTTTGTATAGCTAGAGTTTAGGGTATAGTTGTTAATAAAGGATGTAAGTGGATTGTAGAATTTATAAATTTTAAATAAAGTCTCAAATTTTAGAATCAGTCAATTTCAGTATCAGCTGAGACATGAGTACTGCCAAATGAACCTCTTAATAGCAATTTTTTTAATTTTATCAATTTTTTGGACTCAGAATCTTTTGATACTGAAACGTATGAGTCATAATTAGAAGTTAAGGAGAAATTATTAGGCCTTTATTTTTACGTGATCAACAAATTCATAGCATAAAGCAAAGTAAAATCAAATTATTATTACAGGTTTATACTTGCCATCACTGAAGTATTATAAGCTAAAAAAAAGTTTACCATCAACAATAAAAATTAATAAACTCTAATAAAATTTTCTTTATAATTTTATCAGGAAAATTTTTTATATCTAAGAGCTTTTTGGTCACTTTTTAATACATGATCTGTTATTTCTACAAAATTCTTATTTTTATAGAGTATCTTCTTATAGAAAAGTTCCTAAATAAGCATTCCAAAATTATTATTGCATACAAAAAAAAAAAACGTTTAATTTTTGAGATTATCTTGATCATATTCTTTACTAAAATTTGCTATTTTTATATAAGCATAATATTTGCATTTTTTTAGATTTATTATAGAAGTATATTAGCCTATTATCAAGCTCGTTAATTGTGCTAGTAAAAAACTAATAAATAGGTAATTTAGAAATATAATGTCATAAATAAGGCTTGTTATAATGGTTATATTAGTATAATAAAGCACTTATTAATTGATATTCAAAATTTTTATAATTATATTTTTTCGTTTATTAATAATATAATTTGC